ACAGCTTGAGGAGCGCGTACAGATGACTCGCAGCACGGAGCTCCCAATTACAGCACAGCAAGTCCGCACAGCATCACCGGTCTCCCTTCATGAGGGATGTATCGTGCTCCGTGTAAATCCGCGCAGAGGGCATTTTGGCGGCGCACAAATTCCTGAGCCAAGCAACCCTCCAAACCATCGCCCACTTCGCCTCCGCCGGATACTGTGCCAACCGTGAGCCTTTTGGCGCACGCTTCTCAGTTCCTCCAACCAACACATGGGCTGCTACCATCGCAAGCTCGCGGGAATCTTCTCCGCTTCCACTTACAAGGTACACAAGCATCTGACCCACCGATGGTAAGCTGCAGCGAACTGACTCGGAGACACAAAGGCTCTACAAGGCAAGTTGACGCGGCGCCGCCCGCTTCCCCTTTGCTAGGCTACCATGTGCATCGCCACGTACCTGGCGCGACTGACATATTGAGGCAATGCGACATCTTGAGTAGTGAACGACGAGGTTGCGCAAAGCTAAAACGCAATGCGTGATGGCCTTTGGTGGAAGGGGCACAGCCTGCTTGCCATCACGTGAGCATTTCATGTCAGGCTTTTGGCACAGCATGCGGCTTGTTATACCACATTGCCCATGTAGTGTTGCTGGCGAGACTAAGTTGAGCCGGGCCAGCGGGGACCTAGTTCTCGCATTCCGCCTTGTATCTAGTCAAATCCTACCGGGCGAGTCCGACGGAGCAGTACAATGCAAGCAGAAGCGCGGGGTGGTTGTGAATTGATCCCTTGAAATTCCGCAGCGTATCTGGTAATGCTCATAGTATACATGCTTGCTTCGTAATGGGTATATAGCTCATAATTGTGATATTTCTTGCCGTCCACCATTAAATCCCATGCTTTTGTAGTCATGATGTCGTGAGATCATCTCATCGTCTTCACACGTCGACCCTTAAGATACATTAATTGTGGGTTTCCCAAATCTAGCGTTTCTTCGTTATGGGGCTCCTGCTCGCGCGTGGGCTGCGTGGCATCAAGCCCTCGCCTTGCGTCTGCATCTTGTGCATCGCATCTTCCACCTGGCGCTGCTTTTTGCTGACGTGCTCGTGTTGCTTCTCAATCTCATCCTCGAATCCTTGAGCAAGCTTGCGTTTGTTCTGTCGCGCGTCCTTCGTGCGTTGAATAATGCTGCTGAATTGCTCCAAAAACCAGTCGCCAGCATCCTCCCATTCGGTGGTGGGCAACGCAGAAAAGAATTGTGACTGCTTGCCTGCATCAAAGTTGTGCTGAACGTGTTCCAAGCGCTCTGTGAGAGGCTTCTGTTGCATGTTGTCTGACAAAAGGTGGGGCGGGGCGCGAGGATTGTGGTCGAAATCTTCGCGCTTCAGCTGCTCGTATTGCATGGCCTTCAGGGCATCGAAGTCATAGTCGCCCTGGGAAGCAACGATGCTGCTTTGCGGCTGGATTGGATCCACGATCTGGTGCTGGATGACCGGAACGACCTTGTTGCGCACTGTTGACGGGCGTTGAGTCGGTACTGCTTGAGAATAAGAGGGCGGCTGACTTGACTGTAGGGGTGCACCAGGCTGTCTGCTACCGCGTTGCTGATCGCGTAAGTGAGCGGACTGCTGGAACAGCTTGTTTGGATGGCGATCGGATCTTTCAGCATGCTCATCAGCAAGCCCTCGGCGCATGGACGGAGGTGTCAGAGGTGGTCGGCGGTTGAAACTACCAGCCGGAAGAGATGGCGATGCCGGACCGTCGTCATCAAAACCTTCAGAATTTGGCTCCGCTTTGCCGTTCCATTCGGTCTGCTGGCCGTCTGTGGTACTCGGATAGGAATCGCCTTTGACTGTCTGAAAGGTTTCCGGGCGATGTTGAAACAAGTAGTCGATGGCTTCTTCACGGCTTAGCTGTTGTTGACCATGTTGTTGAAGGTATTCGTGATCTTCTGGTTTGAGGACGTATTGTGCAAGGTCGACTTCCTGTTCCTCGTATTCGATTTCGTCGCTCTCATCATATGCGTCATCCTCATTGGTCAGCCCATCGCTGTCAAGTCCAGCCACGTGATCGTGCAGCTGTACCGCGACATCTTTCACTTCATCGGGCTCTGCTTGAATGAAAGACTGGTCAATCGTGGTATCCAGGCTCTCGGCGTCAGTATCGAATGCATCAGGCTGATGATCATGATCGGCGTGGCGGCGTCGAGAGTCATGCTGTACCGCAGCGGATGTATTCTGCACGTTCCCGAAACCTCGAGATGGAAGACCTGAGAGTACGTGTGGTTGCTCAATTTGCGGAGCGACAGTTGGGGGCGCTTTTCTTAAGGTGACTTTTGCGTTCGCTGCAATGGCTCTGCGCTCTGGGTTGATACGTTGGCCATTCTTGTGATCGTTTGGGCTGGCCGCCCGGTCGCGCCCATGGACAAATTTCTTCATGTCCATTTGAGACAAGCCTTCGGTGCATGCAGACACCAAGGCGAATTTCGGACACGCTCAAGCCTCCAGTGTAGGTGATGTCGTTGGGTGAGAAATGAAAGGTCAAGACGCGACCGCGAACGGGACAGCGCGTCGTGTTGAGCGTTAACCATATTCGGATTGGCGGCTATCCCGCTATCGCGCCATGACGATACTCGGATCACGGTTTCCATTCGTCCATCACCATGTAGAATATGCCCCTCAACGGTGGTGCTTTTAATTATACTACATGCATGAAACTAAGATGGCAGATTGTCATCTTTACAAACTCCCCAATGAGGTAGGCGACGTCCAGCTTTCATCCTAAATCATCTCGACTCCGTCCAGTTGACCCTATCGTAGCTTCTGCTGCACATGTTCGTGCCTATGACCACGAATGAACTGCTTCCTTTGACCTCGATATCGCGCCGGCTGTCGGTGATTATCCTTCGCATTCTTCACCATCGCCTTGTCGCCGCCACTGAGCTTGATTCGCACTCATTGCTCCTCGAGTGCTACCACCCCTCCGCGAAGCTCTTCGAGCCACCATACTTCTGCACATATCTTGGCACAGATGGAGTCTCTTCGTACGAGGCAGTACACGAGGGCAATATTGGTGAACGCCTACGGAGCATGCAGGCAATGTATTGTCGCTTCCGACCGCACCAGCGGGAATTCGAGCAGGGAGGTAGGAGAGTGCTACCACGCCCTGGAGACGTGCCTGGGAGCCGTACCTTCCCGGGTACTGTAAAGGAGAAATATCAGGGCGCGACGGTGAAACAGACTCTAAGCTTGGAGGCACACGAGCTATTTACACAGCTCGTGGCGCAAACCAATTTGGTCAAGATCGGGCCGCGTCATGGACTATTTACCTGCTTTGTGGATGTAGAAGAGGGTGTTTTGCGGGTCTGGAAAGATTGGCTAGCTGACACTGCAGCCAAGGGTCGACATGAGCAAGCACCTATAACGGTAGAATCTATGGAACGTGACCCCAAGGGTAAAGAGGTAGCCAGGGAGCTACAACTAGAGACGGCGGGCTTAGACGATCCAAACATTCTATGGGTGAGCCCAGCCAAGAGCTCGGGCATTCGTTTCAATGTAAAAGAAAGAAAATTTCGGAGAGACATTCCCATCCTCATACGAGCGGACGAAGACATGCCCGTCTCTTTCGAGATCGAGTATGATGGTGAGTCAACATCGAGACTTGATTCCAGTCCCGTACTTATACCTCGTGTAGAGCTGCTTGTTCGAACCTCACATCTCTTGTTCGCACTCGAGAAGTCACTGGTGCAAGAGGACAATTCTTCTGGAAAAGCTGTGGTATTCGGCTCGTTTGGCTAGCCAAAAGGAAAATGTCTTGCAAACGGCTCGAGTCCCGAGAAAGGACCCACCCACCGTTAGCCGCAAGCGACCAAGTCCCGCACAACGCAGCCCACCACCAAGATGCATTTCTTGAGCAAAAAAAAGTGTATTTCTTGCAAAAAGAAATGTCTTGTGACCCGAGGGCGATTTGAACGCCCAACCTTCAGGAGACTCCGAGTCGGATCTGGAATCTGACGCGCTACCATTGCGCCATCGGGCCATTGAGTAGAATATAGCGAAACAGCAAATTATCAGTATATAGCCTAATAGAAAGTATAGTCCATGAACTAAGTTACGACGATATCTTGATTTCGAATGCAAGGGTCTCAAGCACCGCTGCTCCGTTATGAAGACTACTTGTTCAGTCCAGATGAATTTATTCCTTGCATGTCTATTGAACTCCACATCCGTGCATGCGTACTAATTCGGTGACTCCACACTCCACACAGCGCCGACGTATAAGCAAAGCACTCCCACAATAACATTATATTCACCACAAGCAAGTTGTGAATACTTTTGTGAGACAATATCTATCATGCCCAACTGAAATTTTGAGCCGTAATGATGCGGTGGTATTCCCCTGTTCGCTTGTTTCCGGGTGTCATCAGCGCCCGCATGAGTCCTAGATACATAAAGGATACTTGTATATATCTTCACACAATGAATCGACATACAGAAATTGTGTTCAGTCGAGAATTTCACTCAATATGTGAGGTATCATCCTCATTCACAGTTTGCAACAAAGAACATTCGTTTATTTCAGGGCCGTAGGAGCCTTGTCTGTGTACACAGTATTGAACTCACATCCGTGCGGAGCGGCTAACCGCTGATCGCCTAATTCGAGGCACACTTCAAAAATCACCAACGGTCACCAAACTGGTGTCCAGAAGTGCTCTAAACAATGTTTCAAAACCAACGCAAGAATCCCTATGACTTCTCGCATGCTTTGTGGTCTAGAATCTCAGTTATGCTGCTGTGGTTCGATCATGCGCTTGCGGCAAGCCCGCCATGAAGCCATGTGTCAGCACAGCTCAACAAAGCCACAGAACCCAGCCCATGCCCCACAGTCCGTTTTCGACGGTTTACGCTGTCAAATTGCATGTCTCTCTTTTTGTTAGATGTTACCAATATATATCATTCAATTTTCAATTTCTTCATCAATCCAACAGGATCCCAAGCACGGCTTCAACCGTCGCATTCCTCCGCTTGGTGTAGTTGGTTTATCACGTTCGACTGTAATATTACTTTGTAATCGAAAGGTCCCTAGTTCGATTCTGGGAGCGGAGATAATTTTTTGTGCGTTGCGTGTTGGTGCTCAGAAGAGCTGAACATATCTTTTTTGCCGGCCTGGGCTAGAGCCGACCTGACCTCGGGTGTGCTGAGCTTAGTGGGGCAGCTCATCGTCACATCAGATGCATAAGAACAAGCTGTTATTATTATTCATTCATTATAATCATCCACTGAGGAGATTGAGCTTAAGTTGGGACGAAGCTGATGAAACGCCAATTTTGGTCAGCTATATATCTGATCTGGATATAGTGACCCATGAAGACAGGACAAGGCTGTGAGACGTGAAATCAATCGCAAAAAAGTGTGAATAACACCCGCATGTGCGAACATGCTATCAGATGAACAACCAAAGATGACCTTCTGTAACCACGATTAACTCAGATTGGCAGCAGATGCGATATCTCATTTCCCATCATTGCTGAAATTCGAAATAAAAACCACAAGCACAGCGCAATATGCCGCACTCGCTGCGAACAGCTCATGTCGCTTAGCCTTGGTCAACAGACTCATGGCAGCGGAGAAAAGTAGTGTGAACACGACCAGAATACCCACTGCATCGAATGTGGAATTACGATTACCAACAGCTGTGAGTTCGTACATGGCCACGACGGGCAAGACGAGCAGCACGAAGATGATGAGTGTGATAATTAAGCCTACCAGCTTCTCGATGCGTGATTGCGAGTAGTAGTAGATGCATTTGTCATCAGTCTTTTCGCGGAGTTCTTTGGTCGCAAAGATTTTCTGTAATCGTTGTTAGCAGGACTCGATACATTGAGAAGAGTTCGCTGTTGTACCTGTGTGAATTTGCAATGCATCTTACGCACGCATGACTCGATGAATCCGTCGAAGCCAGACCATTCCCGACCATGCCGTAGCGAAATTAGATCTTCCTTTCGCTTGATAAATTGCTCTTCTCGTTCATAACTGAGTGGTTTGACGTTCCAGAACCATGTTCGGAAACTGGTATAGTCACGCTTCGAAGGTCGTTGAAAAGCGTTGAGGTCGCGCGCTTTGATGAGGAGTTCGTCTGTAGCAAACATGGTCAAAATCGATCTTTGAGAATCAAATGCTACGATCGATACCTACCATAGTCGACTAGTTTCTGTCGTATTTTCTCTATCAATTGTTCTCGAGCACTCGGTTCTTCTCCCATGCTACTAGCATACTCGAGATCATCTTTGCGTGATGTCAACCGGCTTGTACCTTGGCTTTCGAGGTCAAATTCCTCTAGATCTTCCTCAAGGCACCGAATTTCGTCTTGGAGATCCAATATCACACGAGCATGCAGATAATTAAAGCCACGGTAGATGGACCAGCTTGATTCGCTGGCTTGGAAGGCGGCTTGGAGCGGGTAGCCCTTTGGATATTCCTGCACTGGATTGGAAAATCAGTTTCACATATTTGACTCATGAGAATCGTACTTACAGGGTATCGTGAGTGTGCTGTTGATTTCAAGTGCTCTTTGTGCTGGTGTTATCGATTGATCTGGAGCATTAGCTGGCGACCATGGAATGGGTCAGTTAGGCATACTATTATCTTCTTCAGCTGCCGTTGATGATCGAGCTAATTGATTAGCCCAGTCATGCTAAGTACGCAAGCAGCACATACTGTCTTCCTTTTGCTGCACAACTGTAGTGGCTCTGCTGTCGATGTTGATTACAACATGACCGCAGCCTTGCGAGACGTGCGACTGGGCTTTTTCCGATTCGCTACCACCTGACGGAGTCGGACTTGGAATAACCATCATATAATAGTATTTCGATCATGGAATTGTAATTCAAGTTGAATGTAGTGCGTTGGAAGTCTAAGATGTGGACTCTATATAGCCTTGCCAGATGGAGGGCGGGGTCGTGGAAGAGCACAACTTCGAAGCTGCTTCCGGTGAGCCAACCCATTGGCCCTCCGTACACCACTCACTGGCCATGGTCTCATATCATCTCTTATTTCCTCGGCTTGATATCGACCTCAGGAAACCATGTCGCTCCATCCCACAACAGACCATCAATCGTTTTGAGCTGATATTGCCAGGACTTGTTGTCGCGCTGAGACGCGGCAGCTATCGTGAAAGACTTCATCTGCGTTATTTTGTTCTCGGTGACCTTCATCTTGACTTTGGCGTCCTTCTGGAATCCTTGGGCGCGCTATTCTACTTCGTCAGCCTCATCGCCTCGTGGTACACTTTTGGCGAAATTACACCGCTGGCCGATTCTGCCTCGACGACTCCAGACTTGTATCGTGGTACATCTGCTGACTCTTGTGTATCCTGTAAGAATACCGGTCAGTTGGAGGACATAGCCAAGGTGGGGTCCGCGCCGCTATACCTGGTTTGACATAATCTGAAGGCTATGATCGCTTAGGAAGTTGACTGACGCTGCTTTCGTAGTAGTCGCGGTAGGTGGTAAGGCAGCAAGGCTAAAAAGTGGGCGCAGCCCTTATCAAGTCTTCGTGCTGCGGAGGCCGCTGGCAACATTACCTTGAATCAGGCGTGTACACATCCATGCCAATTGTGTCCTCTTGAGCCTCAATGTCACAGCTGACGGTGTGCGCGACCAGGATGCGTGATTGCGAAGTGTGGTGGGCCTTTGATGTGGTTGGCAGGGCCTGGCGGGCGGCGCGCGGGAGGACTTCAGCGGGGCTGTTTCCGCAAGCCGAACACCCACCAGATGTCTTCCCGAGCCTTCAGACAAGCCTCCTGGACAGATTGAGAAGCAAGGCTCGAGGCTTAATAGCACAAAACTGCTCACGGACTTTCCCAGATTTTGCACAGCCATCTGCTAGAAGTCATAGCGCTGAATCGCCTGTAGAACGCGCGAAAATGGAGGCCAGCATAAAGTCTCAGATGCCTGCAAACGCCCAAAGGTTGCACGCCGCCCTTTCAGCCTGACAGCATGACTTCGCTCCACGAAAAAATTGACGAAGCAATTTCTCCTACGTGTATTGAATCTGTTCTTTGCGCAACACCGGTCAAGTCAACACAGCGAAGTTCTACTTCTACTATTTCGGAAGATGCAGCCATCCTACATCCTGGTGATAAGGAAGCGGAGGACCGACTGAGACGTGAGGCTGAGAGACAAGCCCTATTCCATCAGGTTTCTAATGACAGGCTGGGTATACCCAACGGGTACCAGAAGGTGGAGGTCCTTCTTATAAGATGGCATGAAAGCATCGATGAGTTCAAAGACCATGGCCAGGAGGTATGTTGACATGATTGATGGGGTTTCTATTTGCGAGAAACTGATGTGAGTCCATAGATCACGCGACTGAAAAGCATATTCGAGACAGGCTTCAACTTCGGCTGCAAGGTTGCAGAGCTTCGAAATATTCGGCATCCGCAGCTTGAATTGAATCATGCGATCACTGAGCATGTCATGGCACATGACGGGGAGGAGAATTTACTCATTATCTACTATACAGGCCACGGCGGCCGGCTCATTGACGACAAAGGCCTTCACTTGAGGTTATCGGCGTAAGTCAACGTTGTCGCGCACTGAATTTCAAGCTGATCAATGCCAGTCTGCAATACGTCGACAACAAGAACTCAGCAAGACCCGCAACTGCATTTTGGGAATACGCAGAACAGCCCCTAAGGACACTCGCTTCGGCAGACGTCCTGGCCATTCTCGATTGTTGCTTCGCTGGCACAGCAGGGGTAAAAGGCATGAGCGATCAGACTCGCGCTTACCATTTACTGGCAGCGTCATCCGCCGAGGGCGTCACAAATGAGCCCGGCCCAGAGTCGTTCACAACTGCTCTTTGTGATTCGCTCGAGGATCTTCTCAAAGAGACCAGCGGCGAGCCATTCCCCCTCATGAAGCTCTATACGAGAATTAATGCAAAGCCTGGCCAAGGGTCCATGCTTTGGGATCGCCTCGACAAACACACCAAAACCTTCGGCCACATCGAGCTAGGCCGATTGAAGACGAGTCCTGAAAGAGATGCATCTTTCAAGAACACAGATCCAGAGCGGGCATCATTAACTCTACGATTGTCGCTAAAGACAGAAACCTTGACCGATGACCAGATCGCAACACTTGCTCACACTTTGTCAGAGGCTTGCAAAGAGGTCAAAGCTCCAGTCCGTCAAATAGAATGGGTCGAACTCGAACAGCGTAATAACTACCTCATTCAGAAAGTAGTTAAGCAGATGCGGCGGAGTTTGTCTGGGTCGAAACGCAAACGAAGTCTAAGCAGACCGCAAATTCGGACAGAAAGACCGGAAACGAGAAGGCATACACGAGCAGGCGGAGGTATGCTTGGTCCACCAGAGCGAAATTTGCGGGAAGATTCGGTAACTTCGGAGGAAGTTGTGGTATCGGGTTTATGCACGCCACCAAGAAGGAATATACGGGTAAAGCAGGGGTAGTTCGGTGGACAGTACGCCGTTTAATCACACCAATGCTTTAACATAGTCATTTATTCATAATTCATCTTAACACATTATGCATCAGTCAAACTTCTTCCGGTATGACGCCTGTCCACCCCTCAGCCTAGCAACTTCGGCCTGCGTACGCTCATGCTCCCCCTCCATGGCACTCATATGACTCATCCTCGCCATTCTGTCTTCAAGATTCAGTTCCGACGACTCGCGCTCCGCAAGCCTGGATGCCCGTGCCTGATCCGCCGAAACAGGCGTAGTATATACTTGTGGGTAGTATTGGCCTGTGGTCTCAATGTACTGATGGTGATGCGTGCCTGTGCCGTTTATTTCGCCGCCCGCCATGTAAGCGTACGGCTGACTCCCGGGCACCTAAGACGGAAGGTCTGGATATTGCATCATTGGCCTCATGTTATAAGATGGCGTGTTAATGGCGCCAATTGCGGTGGAAAGCTCTGATGGGGGCGCTGGCAATGATGTGTTTGGGCGTGTGCTGGTTATGCCGTTCCGTTACTCTTCGACAGCGTTCGTAAGCTGCTTGTTGTTCGTACCAAAGACCGTTCCCTCCGCCCACGATCGTTCCCTTCGCTGCCGTCTCGGGATCCGTGTGTACTCGTGTGTA